TTCTTGCTTTTACAATCAACTTTATTAAAATAAATACATACAATAAAAATGCACAGATTTTAAGTGCACTGTTTGATAAACTTTGACACATGAACACACCATGTAGTCAATACCCCACTCTAGACATAGACCATTTCTGCCTCCCCCCACCCTTTGAAAGTGCTGTCATGCCCCTCTCTGCTCCATCTCTGCACTCTCCCCCAGGCAACCACTCATCTGAGTTCTGTCATCATAGCTTACTTTTTGCCTGCTGTAGCACTTCGTGTGAACGGAATCATACTATGTCTGACTTAACATGATAGTTTTGAGATTCTCCCATGTTGCTTTTTTCAGTTTTTATTTCTGAATAGTACTTATTGTGTCACTATAAAACAATTTGTTTATCTATTTTTCAGTTGATGGATATTGAATTGTTTTGCGTACTTGGTTATAATGGGAATAATGCTGCTACAGACATTTATGTACAAATCTTTTCATAGACACGTTTTCGTTTCTTTTGGGTAAATTACTAGGAGTGAAATTTCCTGGGTCAAATCGTAAGTGTTGGTTTAACTTTATAAGATTATGCCAACTAGGTTTCCAAAGTGTTTCATTTTACTTTTTCAACTATTCCATTTTACATTTCCAGAGTTCTAGTTGCTCCACATCCTTGTAGATATTTGGGATTGTCAGTCTTTTCAATTTTAGCTATTATACTAGGTATAAAATGGCATCCATTACAGTTTTAATTTGCATTTACCTGACTAATGATGTTGAACATCTTTTCATATGCTTATTGATGAATCCTGTACCTTTTTTTTTTTTTTTTTTGTTCTGTTTTGTTTTGTGAAGTGTCCATTCAAGTCCTGTGTCTATTTTGGAATTTTGTTAGTATTGATTTGTAGGAGTTCTTTACATATTCTGGAATCAAGTCATTTGTCAGATATATACACTGTACATATTTCTTCCCAGGCTGTTGCTTGCAGTCTCATTTTCTTAATGGTGTGTTTTTTGAAGGGGCAGTTTGATTCCTGACCTTGCAAGACTGTTCCTGCAGCATGAATATTGAGGACTTGGGTAACTGAAATGTATGTCTCTGATGATTTCCATTTATTGGAACTAGGGCCTGGGGCTGAGTGGTCCAAAGGCCAGCAGTGGCTGCTGATGACTCATAGGGACAGGTAAGATATCCCCTTGCTGAATCCTAGAAATATTTCAGAAGGCAGGGGACATTTTTGAGAACTTTGCAAGAGACTAGAGTTACTGCATGAGCAGGTGAGGGATTGACAGGAGACAGATTCTGCAATTCATCTCAATGGAACCTCACGGTTTCCCACAAGTTGAAACCTGGAAGCACCCTGTCCACCATGGGTGACCCTGCTGGTATTTGAAATACCAGTGGCATACTTTCCAGCATTGTAGCAACGCACAAGCCACCACAGTACAACAAACTGGCAGACACAGGAGGTGGGGGTGGGGTAGATGATACCACTGTCATCTTTTCCCTCCAGGCTCAGTGTTCTTAGTTCCTGAAGCCCATCCTTGGTGGCCCTAATTTCCAGACCTCTTGCTTGCTCTCTCCACAGAACTCCCTTGGTTCAGCTTCAGTTTCTCAGCTGAGGTGGCTAGAGATGAGCACAACCCCCCAAGAACTGTGGGCTTTGCTGTGGGGTTGTTGTAAGGCTCATGGAGCAGGCGCAGTGCAGACTTGCCTTCTGAGTCGGGAGCCTACCTGCCTTGCTCACCAGTTATCCACTGAGCACCCGCCCTTGCCAAGGAAAAGACCAGAGGCAACAGGCAGAGCTGTGGGCACAGCAGAGAGGCTCCTTGTCCCTTCCCCAAATGCAGCCCTCCAGCTTCTGTTTTAGTGAATTGCACAGGCCACGTAAAATAAACAACTAAATGAGCATCATTTGTGTGCATTTCTCTGAAGGAAATAAGTAAGAGGAATGTGATACAGAGAAATGAGTGAGGCACCTTACATAGGATAGGGTGGTCAGCCACAATTTACCTCTCAGCTGTGACCTGAGAATTATATCTGCTGGGAGCAGAGTGTTCCAGGCAGGGGGAGTGCCATTTGCAATGCAATCGGTTAGAAATGCCCACTGATCATTCCAGAGTACCAGAGCTAGTAGCCATCCTGTTATTTCTGACTCATGGCGACCCCATGAGTGTCAGAGTAGAACTGTACTCTGCAGGGTTTTCAATGGTTGATCTTTCAGAAGTAGATGGCCAGGCCTTTCTTTGAGGCACCTCTGGGTGGACTCGAACCTCCAACTTTTCAGTTAGTAGCTGAGTGCATTAACCTTTTGCACTACCCAGGGACTCCCATTCGAGAATAGACATCATTTAAGCTGTTAGATGTAGAAGCCTGGAAGGTCTGAGCTGGGGATTTCAATTTAGAAGTCCTCAGCACAGAGCTATGATTTAGTGTTCTGGGGCTGGATGAAATTCTAGGGTGAGAGTATGGAGAAGAAATGGAGACAGCAACCCAGACAGAATCCTGGTGCATATAAGTGTTATTTTAGAGCTTGACTAGATAAGGAACAAGGGAAGGAGACAGAGAAGAGCAGCAAGGGATGCAGGAGGGAAGGCTCAAGAGATGTACACACCACAGTTGAACACTTCAGAAAGAGCACTTTAGTCACCTGTGTGCCTGTGCTTCACCCAAGAGTGGGGGAGCGAGAGCACTCACCTTGGGCCAGTCTCACACCCACATTCCCACCACCAGACCTTCTCAGTTATTGGTCCACTCTTGGTCAAATGTTTCCTGAGGAACGTGGGATATGATGTCAGAGAGTTCATTATTTTCAGCCTCAGAGGAAGAGACACACACGTCCCACCCCTTCAGCAATGATTTCCCCAAGTTGGACACCTGAGGGTAAGCAAAGGGCTGACTTGCTTTGCTTCTGACCCTTACCCTTCATTTGTTTTCCTAAAGCCCCTTGCCAGTCCCCACCCCCTTCACAGCTTCTCTCCCAGAGAGGGTTTTGATTAAGGGCTTTCTTGGTGAGAGCAAAGCATCACATTTCCTTGATTTGAAAACTTCTCTCCTTGTCTCTGCACTTAAGAGTTTCTAAGAATCCATTACATACAGCGTCGGCCCACCACTTTCATTAACAAGATATGAGAGGTTTTTATCAGCAGGTAGAAGGAGAGAGCTAAACATTAAGCATGCAAATCAGTTACATTGTTTGTAGTATCACAGGGAAACCACTAAAAGATTCAGAAGCAGGTGCCAAATGGTGAAGAGAGGCAATGAAGGAACTGTGGACAACTGTTCAAGCCCTCCAATCCCACATCTGACACCTAGTCAGGCCACGTGGAAAGGGGTTTTCCCATAACATCCTCTGTACATGTAAATCCTGACTGTCTGGACTTGGAAACAAGTGCTTTAACCTTGAAAGATTAAAATATTTTCATGCAATCAGTAAATTCTGTTATTAAATGTTACAGCGGCTAAATTAAATAAGAATAACTAGTATTTCAAAATTCTCCACATCTTATAATTAGACCAGCCTTTAAAAAATATTCCAAGTTAAGGAACATTAGAATGTATTCCACAACATGGAGACAGCCTGATAAAAAAACATTATTCTTAGATTTACAATTAATTACCCTTATGTCTATACCTTGCATTCAATTTGCATATCTTAAAAGTGCTGTAAATTTCACAGGCCTCCTTGTTATTTAAGATCATTTCGCTTAGTAAAAGTTTCTTCTGCGATAACTTTCTTTTGGTTATGTGGTTGTGCGGTCAATAAATCTGGCTTTACTTCGCTCTCCGATGTTATAATTTTTCTTTTTGTGTGTGTGTTTTTCATTATTGGGCTTCTTGTTCCCTCTGCCCTCTCATTTATTATTCCCCCAAAGAACCAACAGATAGAGGAGCTGACTGGAAGACGAAGTGAGTGGTCAGAGCATGAGATGTTATCTTTTTCCCACTACGCCTTGGTACTGGGTGTCTGACATGTTCTATACATCTTTCCGATGCCAACCTCATTAAACAAATACCACTTGAAGTATAGCTCTCAAGAAATGAAATTTCAGCAACAAATTTTTTATTGGCCTGTTTGGTGTGTTCTGCCCCTTCACTTGGCCCACCTTCTCTCCCTCTTCCCCTCCCTTTCTGAGCCCCTCACCCCCAAAGTGAGCTACGGCATTGGGATTTCTTATTGCAGTTTTGTGTGGCCACCACTATCTTCATAACATTTCATTTGCCTGAGTCTTTATGCTAGTTGTGAACGGTATATTTTAAAAAGAGCGCATTGGATTTCCTAAATTATTCATGAGGCACCATTAGCAGTGTACAAGGCATTGTATATTTTATAGACTGTTTACCTTGGGCAGCCACACGTGTAGCATGTTTGTGGATCCACACCTGCCTTCTGTTGCGTATATGCTGTCATGCCTTGTGCTTTCAGAGGCTCCCTCGTAGAAAAGTGCTCTCTGAGGGAAGCCAGGGTCACTGTGCACCCTTCGGAGGAGAAGGGCCCATGTCCTTGTGCTTTCACAGAATTGTAAATAGCACCTGGATTCTGCTACAACCAGCTGAAATGACTAAAAAATAAAAATAAAAAAAGTATGTTTCAACAAAAAGACACCTATAGTTTAATAAGAACTTTTTTTTTTTTTTAACTCACTAACACAGTTAGAACTAGCGTCACCAGTGTGTGGAATTTTGAGTTGCTGTTGTTCCGTTTTTTAAATGTATTTTATTGCCATCATTGACTAAACCTGGGCTAATACTTCACTTTGAAACTGAGTTAATTGTATAGCATAGGAGTATGTGGTACCATGCAGTATAGATTCTGTCTTAGGAGGGTTTGGCGCAGAAAATCACCACCTGGTGTGTGGGAGCATGAGCCTTGTGCCTCTGGAGAAATGAAGAGAACAAATATTCCCCTCCCCCTTTAATTTTAAGTCCAACCAGGTAATTTCCGGCGTCTTCCTCTTATTAATTGGCAGTTTATTAAAGCCATTTTTAAAAAGTGAATACCATTGTCATTTCTCCATTACAGCTCTCAGAGAACCTAGTGTGAGGTAACAGCAGAGAGGAAGGAAGCAGCTGCCCAGGACCACGCAGGTATGGAGAGTGGCAAGTGTACCCAGCCTTGCTACCTGGAGCCTCCGCCAGCCACAGGGGGCCTCCGCCCTGGCTGAGAAACAGAAGTCTCCCTCCCTCCCAGTCTTCTTGCTCCCTCCCCTCTCCTCCCCTCTCTCCCTTCCCTCACACCCAGGTGTCTTCTTACTCCTTCCGGGAGATGGGTGAATGGAAGACTTTTACAAATTTATTAATTTCTGACAGTGAAATTCTTCCTGACAATTCAATATGTAAGTGAGTCCCGCGACTTCAGAAAGCCCATTTATCCTGGCTTGTGATGGCTGAAAGCAAGCAAATGTGAAAGTGGCTCTCTGCTCGTTGATTGTAATATAATATTTCTATGAAAATCATTTTTTAAAAGCCTTCCAAAAATTTTAATAAGACTTTTTCCAAGACTATAAAGCTACACCTCCGATTAGCTGTCTTAGAATACCTTGGCAAAAGTATCCAAGTAGCAAGAGTTTCCCTAGTCTTATATCCTATATACATCTGTTAAATTACTCTGAGATCTCATTAAATAAAGCTAATGTACTTGTAAAACAGTAGGGAGAGACAGTTTATCATTGTAACTGTTAGAGAGAGCCATTCGGGTAGGGAGGGAGCCAAGAAGACTAGGTCTATGCTGGTCAGTGTAGATGTTTCTAAGTCATAAATCTTGCCTCTTTCCCGCCTAGTTATTGTGTATTTCTTTAGGTGAGAGATTGATTGTAGCAGCTGAAGATGAATTTGCCCACAGTCCCTTTCTTCTTCTTCCTTTTTTTTTTTTTTTATACTCCTGATGCTTCGCCAAGGTGATAATGCTTTTTCTCCTCCCTGCAATCATTTGTTTCAGATTAAAACCGTAAAATGGCACAAAGAGACACTGGAAGGTTGGTTTCTGTGGTCAGGCAAACAGGAGGACATGAAGATGTATAATGCCCCAGGTGGGAGGAAACCCTCGACCGGCCCTCAGGATTTATAACAGCCTCACCTGAAGGAGAAGCAGGGGCACTTCACCATCAGATACCTGGAGAGGCACTGCCATTTCCTTGCTGAGGAGTTTGCAAGCAGATGGTAAGAGAGGTTTAATTTGAAAACACTGAAACATTGCGTACGCTCAAAATCATGACAATTGCAGTTTTATCGTCTCCACTCAGGGCAATGTGTGTCTGGATCATCCCGTGGCCCGAATGGGGAGAAAAGGTACTTTTCATGAATATATATAGATGCTGAATTTATAAGGATCAATATAGTCACCAAATGTTGTACAACATGTCAGCATATCATAAAAAGCAGGCAGTTCTACATAAAATACCAGCTTAATCTTGGAGATTTTAAAGCCTCATTAAAATGTGGATAAAGTCCATAAATGGAAAGGCAGCCTTCAAAAGGTTGAAGTTATATATCTGTAGGGCAGGAATTGTCACCGTCACTTCTGAATGTCAGTGGTCTTGTGGGTTACAGTGGATGGTGGTCAGAGGCTTCGGGCTGGGTGGTGGCCTGGTCTGGGGCAGTGGCATTGTGCGGTTGGGGCCAAGGGCCTTCCAGGCTCTGGGAGTCCCCAGCTCTCTCCTGTAGGGTAATAGATTTAGTTAGCATGGCCACAGGGACAGGTCAACTCCTGCGATCTTTGTCAAGCTGGCGCATTTGTGGATTTAATTATTTTTTAAATTGGAGGTTGACTTCCTCTGCTGGGGAGTGGAAGCCAAAGGGATACCCACAGGGTCTAGGTGAGAGGACCAGGTGACTTGGGAATTCCATCTGATCATCTAGGGGCTGGGGGAGAATTGCTTATTAAGCCCCTCCCTGTGGGCCCTGGCTTCCTCCAGGTGAAGATACTCCCTGGGAGCTGTGCATGCAAAGAAATCAAGGCCAGTTCCCGCACCCTAGTGTCTGGCTTTCTGTCCTCATTTAACCCACAGCTTCAGAAGGACCCCGCTCCTAAGTCCAGGGCTGAGAACAGGCCAGCTCTCCCGATACAAAGCTGGAGTTTGCACCCTTGTTGAAAACTGGCTGTTTTTTGGCTTGTTTGCTTGTTTTTCTGGAGAAACTTTGAAAGTCGAGCTGATACTTTTATCCTGACCTTTCTGCAACACTGGCCCATGTTCTCTGCTTGTCAGCAGCACGAGCTGGCCCAGAGTCATCCGTCACTGCCAGCCGTCACTCCACCGCCATTCCCATCAGTCCCATTACCCGGGATCAGGAGAGAGCCGAGCCTTGCGTCGGAAGGATCATTAAACTTGAGGCTCCCAGGTAGCACAGGTAGTCCAGGTGGCCTGTTGTTATTTATAATAAAGGAAAGCACAGCAGAAGCACCTGACGGTGGCCCAGGAGGCCCGGCAGAGGACGCCTGAGCAGTGTCATCAGTGAAGGACAGTTAGAAGTGGACTCTCCCCCCGCCCTCACTGTAAGCAAAGAGGATTTATTGAACATCTGTTCTGTACATGGCTGGGAAGATTGATTAATTTAATTGCTCACACTTTGCTTAAGTAACATTTGAATACTTAATGTCAAGTTTGAAGGATATTCCAACGTTTGCCTGCACACCTTCTCCTTCAAGTTGCAGAGGGAGCTTTGGGAAAGGAGGTGGAGGAGCGTGGCCATCTAAGCCCCTTCTAAATCCTCCTTCCTAGAGAGCCTGCAGGAGTTACCAGTGGGAAAAGCTGACACTTTTCATAAAAGCAACTAGTTACTTTTTACATTTTCCCATTGTGATAAATCATTAATGTAATGAGGTTGGATCTTCTTTGCTGAGTAGTGGTAATTTTCCCTCTGGTATCAACTATAGAGACAGTTGAGCGTATTATATATTTCTGTACCCTTTAACATAATACCATAATCGTATGAAAGTACCAGATGAGTTAAAGCTGTAATAATTTATTACAGGTTACAGTCAGGCAGCGTATTTAGAGAGAGCTCCTGGAAGTTCTACAGAAAACCAGCCTTTAAACGGTTCTCAGCTCATCAACCTTACCCTTTCCCTTACTGGTTGGTTTTTCCTCATCTCGAGTGTCAATCTTATCTGGCTCTTGGAGGAAGAGGTGCCTCAGACACACTAGCTGTTCCTTTAATGAAACTTTGCTTTGGGAGGAGTAGGGAAACCCATGTATCTCATGCATTGAAATGGTAACGTGTAAACTCCATGTTGAAAATCAGTCTTAACTACACACACCCCAGACCAGAGCATGGATTTTAATGTTGTAAAAGTCCTCCTCAAATCTTTCTTTCCCCCTACAAAGTTCTTAAACATTTAAAGTGGGATTCCATTTATAAATACAGAAGAAAAAATTACACCAACTTTTTATGAACATGTCTGCCACGAGAATGAGGCTAGCCAAGGTCTAGAACCACCATCCATCTGTCATTTTGTCATACTATGTTGGCTTGTGTGTTGCTGTGATGCTAGAAGCTATGCCACTGGTATTTCAAATACCAGCAGGATCAACCATGGAGGGCAGGGTGCTTCCAGGTTTCAGCAGAGCTTCTAGACTAAGACAGACTAGGAAAAAGGACCTGCAATCTACTTCCAAAAAGTAGTTAATGAAATCCCTATGGAGCACAAAGAATATTGTCTGATATAGTGCTGATAGGTGAGCCCCCTAGGTTGGAAGATACTACACAATGGCAATAACAATGGACTCAAGCATACCAACAATCATGAAGATGGCGCAGGACCCAGCAAAGTTTCATTCTGTTGTATACAGGGTCATCATAAGTCTAAACCAATGTGAGGGAAACAAACAAGAAAGGTCTAAAACAATGGATAATATCTGAATATGACTTGAAAGATGACTAGGAAGGATTTTTATTTATTTATAAGAACAAAATATGCCTCTTTCTGTTTCATTGTTCTTAGGAACCCCATTTATTTGTTCATTCATTCGTTTGTCCTTGCATGCATTCATACATTCATTTGTTCATTCAATAACCATGTCCTAGGTTCTCAACTCCCTCTAAAGCAGGAGCATTTCTATTTTGTTGGCAACTTCTTTCAGGCTTTCATACAAAGGGAAGTTTTCCAGCTTAAAGATTTGTTTGAGGCAGGGAGAATGCAGCAGAGCGGGTAATGAGGACCTGGAGGGAGCTGGAATATGTGGCTCCTGCAAGTTCTCCAACTAGAGAACGGTGCCAGCGCAGAGCCTTCATTTCCTATTGTCAGAGATGCTGTATATAACGTGCTCACAAAAATCTTCCATCTGGGAGGGCTGGGGTCTAGGAGGCTGTACTACTAATTTACTGCCCAGAACCTTAGAAAGGAAGAAAATCTGAGACCGAAGGGCTGGGAAGAACTCCACTGAGCAACCAAGTTTGGAGTTCCAAGGAGAGTCCCTAACAGGGCCATGGGCATCTCCCTTAGCAAAGGATAATCTCCAGTCACGTTTGAGTGAAGCCAGGTGTGGAGTGGGCTGATTTCTTTGAGAGATGCCTGTCTGTCCCCAGCTTTGACCACACACAATACTTCCCGCACCGGGCCTCAGACTGTCAAGGCCAGAGCCAGGTGCCTGGGCTACGCGTATCCTTCTCCATCAGTCATACTGCAGGGAGCAGACAATTAATTCTGGAGCAAAATTGAAAGTCAGAGGCAGAGTCTGAAAGAACAGAATGACAATAATAAAGTGCCCCAGCCTCGCATTAATCTCCCTCACTTCAGGCCTGTCACAGCCGGCCTGGCTGTGACTAATGCCAAGCTTTGCATACAGTGGTCACAGACACGCGCAGCATGTTCCCTTTACAGCGCCTGCGATGTGCTTTGTTGGGTTTTTGACTCCTGTGGAATCGCCGAAAAAACATCGCAGCTGGTCATAGGTAAGGGGACAGAGTTCCTCCATCATATACCCGGTGATTGATGCCTAGGTCTGGGAACCAAGTGCAGGAGCAATGGAACGCTCCTCTCTCTCTCTCTCAGATTGTTTATTTCTCTCCTTCTTTTTTCTACTTTCCTAACTCACTTCTCTCATTCCTACCATCTTGCACTCAATCCTCACCATCTTACTCGATTCTTCCACCGCTTCTAGTTGCTTGTTGTGGGCTCTTTGCTTTTTCCGGAAAGGCCTCCTCATCCAATTACCATTTGATGGAGGCAAGATGGAAGAATTAGCTTTAGTGTGGGGAAGTGTACAGGGTGCTGGGGGCCGTATTGACAGAGGAGTCTGGGACAAATAAATAATTGGGATTGGCTCCTACTTACTTGGGAGCTTTAAAGAAATTCAAATGGAAAATGGTGGCATGATGGCCCAAAGCTACAGCGGGTCCCCACATGGCCACGGGGCATGAAGACAACTAGAGCAATTCAAATGCCTTTCTAGAGCCCAGTGGGTTTCATGGCCCCAACTGCTGAGCTGGGAGAATGCAGCAGGGGGTGATTAATCAAGCACAGGATCAGTGAACAGCTAAACAAATCCAACCCACTGGAGGAAAGGAAAATGGTTTCTCTAACAGGGAATCATGCCTCCCTGATTAAAATGAGTTCTTCTGAGTCAAAGAAAAGGGAATCTAAGGAGCAAGAACCAGGACAGATTTTAGAGAAACTGCATGAAGTCCCCCCTCACCCCCAAAATGATTAAAAACCTTCACACTGGGGACATTAGTGCTAACATACATTTTGTTCTAGGTACAGAAAACAAAAAGTAGAGTTGTACAGCCATTTCTTAGATGCAGAATTACATTTCTCCAGGGAACGTTCCGCTGAGCTTCTGGGAAAGGTACAAGGAAATCCTGCAAACCACTGTGGATGGGCAGAAAAGTGGGATGAACAGCAAGGTGGAAATGCCCAGGGATATGAGTGAGGGGGAGATCAGGGGCCTAGGAAAGGGGCTGTTTCCTAAAGTCCTCAGCTTGTTCTCTTGATGCAGCTGCAGAAGGCAACACGTTTCTGGGGATGAGAAACAAAACTGGAAGATGATGAAGACCTCAGTGAGCATCTGCTCCAGGTACTGACCACCAGGGATGAATCAGTACCTAGACAGGGTGATCCCATTTGCACAACTGGTTTGTCTGGACTGCATCTTAACAAAGACAACTGGAGCCACAGCAGGCCTGAGAGGTGGCTCAGCCCAGCCATTGCACCAAAGGCAGTTCAGTGCAAGGGCTGGGTCTGTCCATTCCAAAGGCCTTTTGAATGTTGTCCTCTGCCTTCCACTGTCCTTGGGTGCCCCCATCAGTGAGACATGGCCATAGTCTTAGACTGGACAAAGAGGGGGCTGTCTCTCTCAGTGTCCCCCTCTTGGCTTCCATCCAACCCACCCTTGCCTCACACTCATGCTGGGATAGAAGGCAGCCCACTGCCCTGGGCCCACACTGCAGTCCTAGGTGATGCAGTGCAGTCTGCTATCTCTGCTCCTCTTTCTGCTCCTGCCCTCACCTGGCTGCCCTCTCTAGTCCTGGAATGCCATCAAAACCCCAGTGTGATGCTGGGGAGTCCATTTAAGGCTGAGTTTGCCACAGTGAATTCTTCAGTCCACCCACTAAAATGGCTCATTTGTAGACATGTTAGATATGCTGGGTAAACAAAGTCAAACACTCACCTTGTCCTAAGACTTCTTAGGACCAATCAGCCAGCATGGGTTGTGACTGCATGGAATGGAAAGTTTTATGAAAACTATCCAGAATTTATTTCAGCATTGAAGCCTCTTCTAGGTGCCTATACTGTATTAGCTACAGAGTTCCTGGGTAGTGCAAACAGTTGATGTACTTGGCTGCTAACCAAAGGGGTGGACGTTTGAATTCACCCAGAGGTACCTCAGAAGAAAAGCCTGACAATCTGCTTCTGAAAAAGCAGCCGTTGAAAACCCTGTGGAGCACAGTTCTACTTGGACACACATGGGGCTGCATGTGCTGGAGTCAGCTCAACAGCAGCCGGTATTTTTGTTATTACTGATGTGATTGGGAGGTACAGTTTAGCCTGCCCCCTTGCTTAAGGTGTCACTTCCATCCAGACATGATTGTGCTCTAGGAGGGAAAGTCAGAAGAGAGAGCGAGAGAGAGAGAGAGTGAGACAGAGGCAGAGACAGAGACAGAGACAGAGAGAGACAATCATTCAATTCCAGAAGGAGCAGAGTGGTGAGTAATTATAGACCAGAATCCAGGGGACGCGGGATCTCGTTCTGGCTTCACAACCTGTTAGCTATGGGACCCTGAGCAAGCCACTCCCGCTCTCTGGACTGGTTTCCTTGTTTCTACATGATGGGGCTGGAACTGTCAGCCCCTGTAAGATCCTTCCAGCTCACACAGTCTGTGATTTTATGTACTTGTCAATCTGCTCTTGCCACCCTCTGCCCCCACTCTCTCGCCCCACGGACTGAGCCAACTTTTCAGAATATATAAATTTGGCAGACTGGGGTTAGCAGGCTGACGAGAGGAAGAGCAGCCTTCACTGAAGCCGGGCGCCTGCTCAGAGCAGTATGATCT